GCGGTTGGGTGAAGTAATTTTTTGAGGGTGTTCACAGCAACCTTTCGTGGGCCATGGTCTATCAAACCTAATTGATCTAGAAGCAATCCACAGGTTCTCATTTTCTGTGAAAACAAAAGAAGAATCTCTTTTCCAAAGTACCATATCCTTAGACCCAAGTCTGAAGTCAAGAGACCTATATAATATGCATGCTGGTTTAGATTAGCAGCCCATACAATAAAATATCTCTCTGTACTTAGCTCCTTCACAGTCAAAAATATTCAAAGAAAACACAATAATATACATAATCCAGACTTTCTGTAAATTTTCCATTTTTACGTGGTGTAATGTTTTTACTCCTTTTAATCTATGACTGTCTCTACTCTGTCTCTTTAAAGACTTTCTTTTTAGAGCATTAACTTACTTTATGACTCGCTGTACTCTCTTTCTTCTCTCTCCCAAGCCTACGCATATTTATCCAGCACTATGACCAATTTATAGGGTTTTTTTAAAACTGAATTTGTCTTTATTGTGTATCTGTAATAATTTTCTGATAAGAAGCATATCTTAAAATGCTAAGCATCTTGGTCTCAGTGGCCCTCCTTTCTGGCTCCACTTCTTGCCTCTCTCTGGCTTTAAATCTGGAGGAAGTTGTTCACCTCAGCTCTAGGTCAGCTGGGTGGGAGCCATCCTTACCACCTGAACTCTGGATAGCATCATGCAGCATATAAACTCTTTTTTCTGAGTAAAAGCTAAATTTGCCATGCAACATACTATGTGCCCTTGAAATATCTCTGTGTATTGCAGTAGGAATCTATCATTCTCTCCTGCTTGTGCAGCCTAGCAGTCCTGATCCCACAGCTTGCTGAGGCAGGGAGCAATGAGCCGAAGACATGGTCTCAGCTACTTTTCTTCCAACCAGGAATGTGCACACAAACACCTGAGCCCACCAATGCCATTGAAATGCTCCATAGCCTGAGATTGTGCTGGCGGCATGGCCCAGGGAGCTGCTTTTTAAAACCATGCAGCTTTTTTTCTGCTGCAGCTGAATAAGGAAAACCTCCTGCAAAGGAGCTGTGGCTTGCAACCAGCAAACAGTAAGAAGCAGTGTTAAACTCTGTATTTTTGTGTTCAGAATTTCTTTTCAAACTCTCTCAGGTTTTAAGTGAATTTACCTGGCCACAAAGACGCCAATACATGATAAAGGTGTAGAAAAGACTTACTCAATAGAACTCCATTTGCCCAATAATTAAGGTCAACAATTGACAATTGGGGTTTCACAAAGCCGAAGGGGAAGCCCATGAGACAGAAAAAAACTTTGCATGCTATACATTGTATAGAGGATTGCTATCCAAAATAAATAGACAACTCACATGCAAAAACTAAAAATCAATATGACCAATTTGAAATTGGGCTTTAGGCCTAAACAGAGACTTCTCAAAAAACAAAAGAAAAAATTTAAAGACAGAAATAAATAAAAACTTGATATGAAATATCTCAAGAAAAAGTTCATCATTCATACCAGTTGGAAATATACATTGATGGTGTGGGATAATTCTGTATTCTGTCAATTATATTTTGAATAAACGTGGATTGGCCGGTAAACAGGCAGGAAGTGTAGGCAGAAAAACCAGACAGGAAGTAGAGGGGGGTGATGAGAACAGGAGTATTCTGGGAAGAAGAAGGCTCTTTTCCTGAGTCCTGTCCAGACCACTGAAGAAGCAGGATGTGCCCTACCCTGCTGAAAAAGGTACTGAGCCATGTGGCAAACCTAGATAAGAATAAAGAGTTAATATAAGTTATAAGAGTTAATACAAAGCCTGAGCTAACAGGCCAATCAGTTTATAACTAATACAGATTCTCTGTGTGATTTTCTTTGGGGCTAAATGGCTGTGAGACCTGGTGGGAGAACAGAAACCTCTGTGAACAGAATGGTGCCCATGTGGACAACTGCATTTACAAAAAGCCTGACAGAGCTTGGGAAATTATTCTAGATTAAAAAAAGATTAGAGTTAAGCACTGCTTCTTAATAGCAGCATTTTTCTCAGGTGGGCTCTGCTTGCTAGAGGCAAAAGCTCTCAATTAAGAGAAGCTTCCTATTTCCGCTTTAGCTGCAAAACCTTGCAGCTCTTTTAAGAGGTCCTGCCATGAAACACTTAAATGATGTTGACGGAAAGCTGACTGCATGCCTTTTGGTTTTCAGCCATAGCATGAAAAAAGCTGTGCTGTTTTAAAATGCTGGCTTTCTGGGCCGTTCTGCCAGTGCAAACTCTGACTCTCTGAGGCAGGAAGACTGGCTACAGAGAGAGCATTTGAATATTGTCTGTGGACACACTATTGTAGCTTGCTTGTTGGCAGGGACCCTGAAACACCATAGAGTTGTGGCAATAAACATGGCTCTGGCTGGTACCTCAGGCATGAGGCTGAAATCTCAGAAAGCTAACAAATGGGCTGGATCTAGCCGTCAAAGCCACGTCTTTAATCCTCTCCATATTGCTTAGCAAATTAAAGAAGAGAAATATACAGTACAGAAAGATTCTAAGATAAAGAAAACCTCTAAATGATTTACATTGTGTTAAAAAAAAATACAGGCTAAAGGTTAAAGTCCTTAAAATAAAAAAGAAAGAGTAGTTGGGTGTGGTGGTACACACTTTTAATCCCAAAGCTTGGGAGGCAGAGGAAAACAGATCTCTGAGAGTTCAAGGTGTGGTAACACGCACCTTTTTTTTTTTTTTAATTTTTTTTATTGAGAAAAAGAAAAAAAAAGTTTCCGCCTCCTCCC